GCACGGTGGACATGGTGGACATGGTGGGACACGGTGGACATGGTGGGATGGAGGCTGATGATCTTCTGTGGTTACACCAGGATGGAACAGCCAAGATAAATGAGAAGGAGAAGAAGATGATGATGATGAAGATGAAGATGAAGAGGTCAACCGGGGTCAAAGAAACCTGGTCACCTGCACTATGACCCGTTTGGGCGTGCCCGCTGCAGTGGACGGCTGGAGCACAGACCCAGTGAGGGAGTTCTTTTTGACAGCGACAGTGGCTACATTAGCCAGGGTCTTGGAGGTGGGCAGGTGGGCCGAGGTGGTGGAGGTGCTGGTGGTGGTGGTGGTGGCCGAGGGGTCCTGGCTGGACGTGAAGGAGGAGAGGTTGGCGCAGGACTGAGATTTCTTCAGCTTCAGGCTGTTGGAGGCGGAGTCCGCGGTGGCGTGACCGTCCGGTGAGCTGCCTTTGCCGCCGTCGCCACCGTCCGACTGCAGCTTCTTGGAGCCCTTCCTCTTCGCTGACACGGCAACGATCCTCTTCCAGGGCAGCGCGTTGATGATGGAAGGCCGCTTCAGGGACTTGGCGGCGGCGGCGGCGTCCTTGGCGTTCTTGCTGTTCTGGACGGCGGTGTAGTGGCCCACAGTGGCCGGGCCATCCTCGAACAGCGCCGCCTTCCGGTAGCTGGGGGACAATGACAACACCGTACCCATGATGCCTTTCTAAGGACGGCGACAGCGTGGAGTGAGGAGACGTTTGAGGGGAAGCTCTTGTGATGGAGTGAGGAGATCAGAGCGTCACTTCAGGAGGAGGTCAAACCTACGGGGAGAAGGTCAGAAGGTCAGTCAAACATCTACGGTCAGGTCTGTGTCTCTGTCCAGGGTTGAGCTGTGAGACCTTTGATTTATTTTATAAAAACAGATCAGTATAAAGTACTACATCTCTGTGTCACCGTTACTTGATGAAAACTCTGCAGCTTTGACTTCAGTGGTGTCTCCCCCCCTCCCCCTCCCCCCCCCTTACTGCTGCTGCCTGTTATATAAGAACCAAGGTAAGGCCGTATAGATGCATGAGAAACAAGTGTGCACGAGCATCCATCTTAGCTTCAAAATGGAAGCGGAGAGGCACGCCCCCCCCCGCTCCCTCCCCCCTCCCTCCATTTCAAGGCAGCTTCTTGAACCAGAGCTTTATGCAGATCCTCAGGACAGAAACTCACACAGATGAAAACGTCGAACCTCGTTACAGAAACATGATGTTGTTGATGTTAAACCTCCGGACACCGTTGGTCCGTGGGCCTTTTCCACCACAGACACCGACCACTGCAGCTGTGACACAGACGTCGGTTGATGAAAACACACGCTCTCACCTTCATATCATGTGTTTCTCTCGGTGAGATCCATGAATGGCACCGAGCTTTCCACCGGTTCGGCTCGCTGGTTTCCACACACACACGGGGTCCAGGCCGTGAAACGGATCGGACCCTGACGATGAAGACCTCCAGCGGTGAAGACCGACGGGAGCTCCTGCTTTCGGTCTTTCTTTCCTTTTCAAATACTCATGCACACAGAAGTCCTCCGCTCGTCGACGTCGACGCCGATGCCGGACGACCGCGGGGTGAGTTCGACTCCCGACCGCGGGAAGACGTCTTCCATTGAGGTGTGAAAGAATCTACACGGTCGTCGACGTGTCTCCGCTGTAGTGACGTGACGAAGCTGCTGCAGATCCAGCAGACACAGGTCACGGCACATGGAAACGCCGTGGAGGAGAAGAGCTGGGCAGGAAAATGGCCACGACGTCGTCCAAAAATAGATGCGGCTTCATACGGGCATCCGCAGTTATTCGGGTTGGATGCGGGAGAAGAACGTCGCCCTCTGATTGGCTGCGGCGGGAGGGCTGCGGCTGCTGCTGCGGCTGCTGCTGCTGCTGCTGTTGCTGCCATTGGCCGCGGAGGCGCTGCAGCCTATCAGGGAGGTCGCTGTCCGAGGTGCTGAAGACAAGAACAAGAGATTGTTTTTTAAATCAAAACAGTGGAATAGAAAGAATTAAATATAAAATCAGGATTATTTTAATGAAAAATAAAGACTGAAACAAAGACAATTATTTTGGATAAATTTGATTTGATCTCAGCTGATGTCAAATATAACATGTTTAAAGTTAGAGTGAAGTCATTAATGTCTAGGTTAATGAACATCGTTCTCTTTGACTTTTTGTTAAAAACTGGATCAACATGAAATGTTGATGTTGACTGACAGATGTCACAATTCAATTAGGTTTATTTGACAGAAACAAACATCATTGTCCATAATGAAAAAAACCACATGAAATATTAAAACATGGTACATAGAAATTCTTCATGAAGATAGAAAATACATTTCTTATCTCGTTTGTTACTTTTTTTTTTACAAAAAATCAAGTGTTGAGTCGGAGATTCCATGAAAAAGTATTTGTTCTACAGTCACGAGATTTTCATCCAACCAACAAAAAATAAAAAAATAAAAATCACATCGACACCGACTTCAACTCCTTCCACATTCTGAGGCACATGTTGTGCCTGATTTGCCCTATAGGTGGCAGCATTACCCGCAGAGAAACATATAGCTCATACAGTTGAGATTAAAAGACACTTCAAACCTTCTCCCACAGCAGTTCTACAGATTCAAATACTACAGTAGTGTGTATTTGTTCTGTGTATTAAGTAAAATGTTTAAAAATATTTAGTTTCAAACTG